GAACTTGCGTTTGATGTATGTAGGCAATGATCAAGAGTGGATCCTTGGGATCCCAGTTTAGTGGCCTTGGGTCATCTATCAAAAATTTGATATTGAGTATGTTATCAGGTAATACCTTATTGTCATCCTTTTCTTTGTGGGGCTCGCCTCTCTTATGGGGCCTAAAGATAGTGAAGATGCCACTCTTTTTCTCTGGGTGCTTGCATGCGTCTTTCTAAGTTTGAGCATTCTTCTGATCGACATTGAACTTGGATCTTAGGTCCTTTGTGATGTCAGAGAGGTCACCCTTTAGCTGCTTCTCTTTAATCTCTTTCTTCAGCATTATAGACTCGTCAGTATTATGAGTTTTGCTCTTGTGATACTCACATTACTTTCCCTTCTCTTTTTCCATCATCGAAGGAGTTTTCTGATGGTGTGGACATAGATTCAATGGTCCCAGTGTTCATCTTTGCCAAACGGACGATATCTACGGGAACGGTGTCGCGAGTGCCAGTTGAGTTTATCATGGATGTTGTCCTGGAACTCTTAATGACCATTGTTGTGGCGAAAGATTGCTTCTTCGTGCTTTATGTACACATTGGCAACAACGACAAAGAGATAACAGCAGTCGATATGGGCCTTGGACTTAACACCATCACTTGCTGATTCTGGTTGGGTTGAGTCATGTAATCACAACAATAAAGAGATAACATCAGTTGACCTCTGGGAGGTGATCCCGGGATGAAGCTTCGATGACCTAGTTGGTGTGTGTTTTGGACAAGGTAATTAGGGATTAGATGAAAGAAAGCGATCTCTTCTTCTAGAGAAGAAGGGTTCTTTTATACTTGTTGTGCCTAGTGTACGATCCCAATGGTGTCTTTTGTCCAGTCTAGGCGGACAAGACATGGAGGAGTCTTATTGGAGGATCGTGCACCACTACTGGTCTTCGTTATTGGTGCAGAGGACAACCCCCTAGGTGCTACACGTGTCACTCTGGGAGACGACCATCCGTGTTTTGTCCTATTATAGACCGGATTTTGTTGTTAGGAATTGGACCTGGGCGCGAGGGAGCAAAGCGTAAGGGTCCTAGCATGAGAGCGAGGGCCCGACTCTGGCACTAATAGATTTGCGACTGTTAGCTAGCTCATCCTAAAAGATAACAATTATGTTATCTTTAACATATTCCTAGTAGGATACATTAACAATATTGTGCATGTAGCGAAGTCATAATGAAATTGAACGAGAAATAGATTGCTTATTTCCATGTCCATTCATTTGAGTTTATTGGCCATATCACACATCATCATGGTGTGCATATGGAAACCACATATCCCCTCGTATTTGGTTGTCAGCATTTTGAGTATAAGGATGATTGCATGCTCTCTAAAAAACTATGGATCTTGTGAAAAATTGGCCCACTTGGTAGCATAAAAATGTAATTCAAAGTCAAATTATTAATGTCTTTGAACTTGGCAAATTCGTAACTGAAACAACCAAATACCTCAAACATTAGACATATTTTTATGTTATTTTGAACATTTTGATTAATACAAAAGTCTAAGTCACTACTTGCTAATGATATTTCATGGACATACAATGCAAGTATATTAAACTTGCTCCCACTCATTTTGAGGTTTATACATTAGTCTACTTAGATCCTTTTGAAATCATTTGACTTCATGACTTCAACAAATTTAAGGTGTCATCGTCGAGAAGCTTGCATTAGCCCATATGTACAATTCTTGAATCTCGTTACCAACTTTTTTGGCACTTGGGTGTGAAGTCATTTTTTGCAAAATCTCTATAATATAAAAATTCCACAATAACTTAATCATTCAAACATCATAAATAAATTTGGTGATATATTTTTTCTAAAATTATGATGTCGAGACATGTTTAAAATATAGAAGGAGCTTAGTATTTTTGTGAATTGTGCTATTCTGTAGTTGGCAAAAAGTTGTGTGAAAAGCTAGAGAAGGATGCTTTAAGAAAGAAACTAAAATAAGTTCATGCCATAAAAATAGACGTGCCAACTACTAAAATCTAAAAATACAGAGTTTGACCACTGATAAAGTAGCACACAAATACAACAAAATGCAAACATCGAATATACAATGGTAGATGTCAGCATTGCTAAAATTTCAAACTATATGAACAAATTGCTTTTCGGGAAAGGTTGTCCAAAAAAATCATATTATCAATGAAATGGAAAAACACATTTTCCCTTTAAAAAATGAACGTTTACATCATTCCTAAAATAGATTTCAAATACAAAAAATTTAAAAAGAAAAGTTAACTTTTACAGAAAACATCAATTTTCATGTAAAGACAAGGAACTTTGTTTTATAAAAACAGTAGGGTAGTGCATGTGTCGATTTAGGTCGGTTTCGATTCAAATTCAACCCAACTCATAAATGGTCGGTTTTTAGTTTTCAAAACCCAATATAATCGGTTTCTGATCGGTATGGTTTCTCGGGTTCTGAGGTTGCTTTGGACGGTTTTTCGGTTTTTTGAGTTCAACCCATACACTCACGGGTTCTAAGTTTAAACCCATGGGTTTTGGGTTTAAACCCGTTTTCCAGAAATAAAGCATGAAGTTAAATACTTCAAAAAACACCAAAGTGAAGTTAAGTACTTCAAAAAACATGAGTCTTACAACCAAATAATCTATTACAAGTTACAACCAAAGCTTGAAATAGCCTATTACAATCAAAACACTATCAAGTATGGATCGGTTTCTCAGGTTGGATGGACCGGATTCTTGGGGGGGGGGGGGGGGTTGTCGATTTTAAGTATCGGTCGGTTTCTCGGGTTGGATGGGTCGGTTTCTAGGTAAAAACCGAACCCAGTTTTTGCGGTTTTTAAAAAATTCAAACCCTAACCGTCGGTTTTGCTTCGATTTAGGTTTTGTCGGTTTTAGTTGGTTTCTCGGTTTGGGTTTGCTCACCCCTAAAAAACAGTCTTCAAAAATCTTATCAGGATTTTATAATTTTAAATACAAATAATTTGGAGAACATCATTTTTATGAAACCTGAACTGAGTTTTATAAAGGTTTTCAACATTACGGTAATTATTTGATGACGACAACATAGGGTCTTTTAATGATTTCCACATATTTGCAATTTTTGCTTCGACTTGTCATGCCCATCTTAAAAATAACGTCATAAATGGATGGTGACGCACATACATAAAAGATCTTCAAGATGTGGATTTAACATTACATGGAATAATGTCATTTTCTCAGACACATGTTTTTTTGGAGTTGCAGACAATTTTATTAGCACAAAACACACACAGACAACTGAAGTGTATAAGAACCGAGTTATTAATGCGAAATCAATCACTAAAAGCAATACGGACACGTCAAATAAATAAGATCTTATTGGCTCATTAATCATCTGTAAGAGTACATGAGTTTAAGAGAGAATACAATGATGAACAACCCAAAAAGTTACTCTCTACCCTTATACCTACTCTATTTATAGAGTATTGCAGACACACAAAAAGTGTAAGGACTAAACATTACAATTCGACTTCGATATGCCTTACAAATACATAAACTTCGAAATCTATGATTTCGCACCCTAACAGACTTAGTTCTATTTCTATTTCTCACTATTCTCTCTCTCTCTCTCTCTCTCTCTCTCTCTCCCTTAGTGAGAAAATATAAAATCATGCTATAAGCTTCATAGTCTGTAGATGTACATTGCAAACCTCCATATACCACAAAATTGTCTTTCAAATCTCAGCCTTGTCTTCAACTTCATTTCTTTTGCATTGTTGATTCGAATGAGAAGACTTGTATATTGAGAATTCAAATACCTCTCCACATCCCTTAATTGAAACAATAACTTAGTCATCCTTCCATTCTTGTTCTTACCTCAAAATATCACTCCCAGAGGTTGATGTACAATTTCCCCATCTTCATACTGATCAATGTTAATCTTCCATTTCAGCAAAGATCGAGGAACTTTCGAGGTCTTGTCAACAAGCATTGCCAACTTAATATCAATTATTGCGAGGAAATCATAATAGTAATCAATGAACACCTTGATATGAGCAAAGCTAATGAGAAAATCATCCTTGTTGTTCTCTAGCAACTTCGACACATCTACATTGCTTAAAATCCTTGTGAAAGTGACTGGGTCATTTAATTTCATCAATGGGAAATCAACAATTGAAAAATCACATACCATATTATTCGCTCTAACGACCACGTAGCAAAAATTTTGTAGAATGCCTTCAAACAAGTTCTCACACGAAACAGTCATCACTTTTACAATTTCCACAGATAACCATACTTCCTCCTCAGTTTTCCTTAAGACCGCATGAAATCACACCTTCAATCTTTTGTACTCTTCTTTGTTAAAATTTTCAAGTAATTTGAATTGTGAAGACATGAACATCATATGACTTATTGGGAAATCAAGTTGATTGAAATTAGAGTTCTTAACCTCATAACTCTTCTTAGGTACTTTGCTTAAAATATTCAAACTTTCCAATCAAAATGATTTCTTCATAGTTTCGTAACACCAATGCTTGATGGGATCACCCTTATTCAAGCCTGGTGCGTCATTCTGCCTTTGCCTTAATATCCCGTTGATTTGCCTTTGCCTTTCGATCTCTAAGGCTTGTTGTTTTTTCTTTTCTTCTTCTGAAGGAGTCACCACAACACCTTTTCCTTTGATCCCTTGACCGTCTTTCAAAGGAGGTGGCATAGAGCCCAAACCAGAACCTCCAACACTTTCCTTTATAACGATCCCTTTAGTAATTGGTCTTGTTGTGGTTGTTGTTAGTGAAATTAGAAGTGAAGTGGATATCTGAGTTGACATCACCTTTCCAATAACAACTCCTTTTTCAGAATCTTTCGATGACGCAACCCCACATCTTTTATATTCCCCTTATGATACATGTTTCGTAGGTGGAGCATTCATTGGTAAGAGAAGAACCAAGTCGAGTATTGGTACGAGCTCAACTTTTATATTCATCTCAATCTTCGAAATCAATTGATAAATTGACTCCTAAGACACAGTTGATTGAGTCGAAAGATCAATTTTCGAAATGGACTCCTTAATACTTGAAAAGAATTCCTCCAATTTAGCAAACACCTTACAATTTTGCTCCGATTTCACATCAAGCTTGGTCGAATAAGTTGTATTGTATTCAACAAGCTTTGGAATGGCATCAACAACAACATAAACTTTTCCATGAAGGACCGAATAATTTTTCTCTATCTTCTCAACCTCTTTGGCCATCTCCAATTTAAGTTCAACCATCTTGAGATCCACAGATTCTTTCATAGTCTTCACATGCTCAACAAAAAGTTCATGAAACTCCTTAGAAACATCACGAAGCTTTTGAATCTCGTACTCAAAATTTCTGGCATGAACTTCCAACCTTTCAACTTGTTGCTTCTCAATACTTTCCACCAGACATCAAAGACGATTCTCCTGAGACTCTAATAAATATTCCATTTTGACCCCAGAAACAAAATGACCCCCCAATATATGTTTGGATCTGTAAAAGAGAATTGAGTTTGTTGTTTAGGATCTTGAATTGTTTACCTAACATAATCATGTTATCAGGATCATTATCCCCCTCAAGGATGAATTGCAAGTCAGCAAAAGAAACCATGATGTCATCATTTTTTGGTTCATCTTCTTGAACTATTCTCTCAGCTTCAGTGGATTGTGAATAAAAGAGAGTAGTACTGGGTTCATGCATTATGGTAGAGTAAGTAGGTGATATGGTGGAAACTGGAAGTGAAGTTGGGATAGGTGAGGATAATGGTGGTAACGAAGTTGATGTGTCAATGGTTGAGGTTTTCAATTGTGGATGAAAGTTTGATTGATGTAGAAATAGTAGATGTTTCAAGATTTGAAGTGAAAAAAGCTTATTTGTTCAACACCCCTTCACCCATTTTGACATTTGTGTCAATATCATATACGTGCACAGTGATTTCTAGAGTTTGAACCTCCTCCGTATAGGACTCAGTTTGCGAAACCCCAGGTGGTATGATCGTAGTCTTCTCAGGGATGGATATAAATGTAGGATCACTCGAATTGGTGTTTGTATCCATATTAGATACGTTTACATTGGCACTAGGATTTCCAGTCTCCTCGAAAGTTGACTTGATAAGTGAGTCCCTTCGAGGTGATCCAAGCCTAGAGTCATTAATGCGAATATTAGATCGTTCGCTATCACTTCCATTATCTCAGGCTTGATGTTTCTTTGAAGCAGGTGAAACAATAACAAAAATGTCTCGAAATAGCACACCTTTTCTATTAAACTGAGGTTTACAAATCTTCTTTATACCTTTCTATAAAGAATGAGTATGCGGAGAATGATTTTAGGGTTGTGTAATGGTATCAAATTTAAGTTCTGAAACTGATGGCCTAACAGGAGAACGATGAGGCCTCTTGGATGGCTTCTTAGTGTGCTTGAGAATGCTAGTCTTTGGAGGAACATCTTCTTTAGAGACTTCCTCCTCCACATGTTCTTGAATTATGTTGTGGTTTCACATTCTGCTTATTTTTCTTCGGTTCTTTAACAACCATCGACGAACCCTCAGCCCCTTTTGGCAAAAGAACTCCAATAGAAACATTAGCATCAATGGATGCCAAGTACTGAACAAGAATTGGGTTTGCAGGATCAATTTTCCTCAACACCGTATCTTGAATGCGAACAACACTTGGAAAAGGATTGGATTATCAACAACCAATTTTGGAGCCTGCAATGTCGAAAACTCAGTTTTTTCATCCTCTTAAGGAACCAAAATCCCATCCTATTCATAAACCTCCTTGAGGATTAGAATCCAATATCGTGCATAAGAAACACCATTCGACACATTGGTGTGAGTAATAGCCGTTCCAATTTACTCCCATAATTGAGTAACATAGTTAACATTCAAATCATAATAGATACCAACAGTCATCTCATAAACTTTTCCTTATCTAAGCCTGAACTGCAACCATTCAAGCATCGCAATATAATTCCAAATAGAAAATTCCAAACACAGGGAAGACTTGATTTGCGAAAAAGACTAATCCTAGTAAGAACAAGTTGATGTCCCTTCTCATTGACCATATAAAGAACCTGTTCATTCGTGACTTCATAAAATGTACCTAAGAATGGTAGCTTCATGATCTAGGCAAATTTTTTCTTGGTACTTAACTGCCACATCCGCTGGATATTTCATTGTTCCCATCCAGATAAGAATTGCCACATAGTTCGAGCTGTAAGGATATCGTGTGAATTCGACATCTAGGTAACATCATTCCTTCACTTTGAGGTAAGGCTCATTTTTTTTGGGATTGTAAAGAGAAATCATATGCTAGACTTTCTAATATTAGTTTTGAGTTGGTAGTACCTAAAACCTCAAGGATTTCTGTGCAAATGTGTGCCAAAGAGTGAGCGGGAATCAATTAAAAAAAATGTTTGATTAATGATATCAAATAGCATTTGATACAAAAGTCGTTGGATCCTAGGCAAATATCTTTTCATTCAACATCAAGAGAAATGATGCACTTCTTGCTTGGTTTCCCGTAAGTACAATCGACTACTCATTGATGAGCACCGCAGGTTTTTTTCATTAGTTTCGAACGGTAGGCTCAATTTTTCTCAATACCACAACTTAACATAAGTGTGATTTGATTGAACAAAATTACTTGGATGACCAGTGTATTCACGAACAAGTATGGTTGTATGTATTTTGAAATAACAAGAAATCAAAAAGATATTCAGACTGAAATCATATTCCAAGAAAAAAAAGCACTAGACCTGGTTGGGCATAAATGTCTTGGTTTTAGAACATTTTTTCAAGGTCACGCATCTCAAATTGAATATGATTTTGAATATCGAAAAACGTATTGAAACAAGTGTTTCATGATAATCTTGAATTAGAATGTTCATTGACAATTCCTTAGTAGTTGGGATTTTTGGGTTTCACCATCATCATAGAAGAATGAATCAGGATCATAAACACAGATTGTTGCTATATCTACATTCTGGTTCGCTTCTACCAGAGATGTCGAGGATATACGGTGATGTGTGTGATTATGACAAAAATTTTGGTGAAAAAGATTGGTTAACGAAACTCATTGTACCTCTACAAAATATTTGGACTTTGTAGAAATCTCTTTACTCGTTATGAGAAGAAAGGTAGCCCTTCAACTAATGTGAATATATCCTAATTGGGAAGGAACACTCATAATGAGAGATCCATTAAGGCTTGGAACACACAAAGTCTATGAGGATTGAGGTCAACATACAACAACATGCTTCTACAGACTCCTAACTAGGGCATTAGTTTGAAATAATACTTGTTCCCCTTTTTGAATATGATCATTGAGGATTTGTCGCCACAAAATGTTATTACAATGAGCCACAAAAAGTTAAACACAATATGAAACAAAAACAAGAAAATCTTTTAGGATTTTTAGCTTTTGAAAAACAAATACAAAAATAATAATAATAATAATAATAATAATAATAATAATAATAATAATAATAATAATAATAATAATAATAATAATAAAATATTTTTGGATTTTTGTTTTAAAAAATTAAAGACAAAAATAAGAAAATCTTCTTGGATTTTTGTTTTCAAAAGTTATAGACAAAAATAAGAAAATCTTTTTGGATTTTTGATATTTGAAAGAAATCAAACAAAAACAAACTTATAAAGTGTTACCCAATGATGTTCGATGTAAGAAGTAGCAACTCCCAAAGATATTGTGCATTGAACAACTTTATCCCCCCAAAAGAGAATTAAGGTTAGAATGATTAAGAGGAATTGCGAAAGGGAATGTGTGCAAATGTTGAACATGAACAATAACCTCTGAACAATTTAGTAAAACACCAACCAAATCGACATCTTTTTGATCAAGAAGAACTAGGAATAGAACTTGCTTCGATCATCCCTAAACCATTCAAAATCCTTAAAAATGACTTCTCTTCTAAAGGTTTTGTAAATATATATACAAGTTGATCTGTTTTTTCACACAATGAACCTCCATGTTCCCGTCTTCTACATGGTCTTTGATAAAGTGATAGCGAAGATCAATGTGTTTGGTTTTCAAATGTTAGACTAGATTATAATAGATGAGACTAGCAATTTGCGAGTCACAATACAAAGGAATCTTCTTAATATTGATTTCATAATCACGCAGTTGACTTTGCATCCAAATATCTTGAGAAGTGCAAGCTACAACAGCCTAGACTTTGCTTTTTCTGTTGAAGTCGAAACACAATATCTTTGTGATCAAGTTGAACTCCACCTACGTTTGCATCAAAGAAACAAACATGTGTTTCGATTTCAACAGCAGAAGCAAAGTATATGGTTGTTGTAGCATGCACTTCTCAAGTTATTCGGATACAAAGTCAACGCGCGATTATGCAATTAATATGAAGAAGATTCCTTTGTATTGTGACTCTCAAATTGCTAATCGCATCTGTCATAATCCAATCCAACATTCAAAAACCAAACACATTGATCTTTTCTATCACTTCATTAAAGACCATGTAGAAGACAAGAACATTCTCTTTGATTTGTAAGTCCATAAATTTATCATCTTGGGCAAGTATGAACCCCTCCTTAAGTGTAAAACCCCATTTCAAGCTTGATTTGGCATTTTGAGTCATTAGAGCCTTGCATGCATGTAAAGTTTGCAACTTTACGTGATAAGAATGCCTTGGGAAGTTGGATCTGTAGTATGGAGCCTTAGCATGGCTTAAAAGAGTCTGTATGGCTTAAGGACTAAAGGAACTCGGTGAGTCGCAAGGTCGACTCGGCGAGTCATATGAAGACAGGCCTGGACCCGACGCGTTGAATGAACAGCTCGTCGAGTCCGATGAAGATTGCCATAGAACTCGACGAGTTGTATGAACAACTCGACGAGTCGATTGAGGTTTCCCTAATTTATGTATTTGTGTGTAACCATCGAGTTGCAAAAAGGAAACTCGACAAGTGGCCTTAGAGTTCGATCGTAAAACGAAGGAACTCGACGAGTCACTCCGTTCCTCAGCGAGTGGGCAAGTACTTCAAGGAACTCGGTTAGTAGCCGAGGGTACTCGACGAGTTAGGGTCAACATGGACTATTGACCTTGACTGATGACTTTTACTTGGACCAGGGTTTGATTAGTTGGCTTTTGGGGTACCTTGAAAGGTTGGGAACTTATGGGTATGATTATATTATGGTAATGGGAAATCTCCAGAAAAGTCCTAAAATTTTAGTCCAATTTATGAAACGGTCCTAAACTAATTTTTGTTTACAGAAAAGCACAGAATACCGGTTAAAACTTCGAAAAAACCCTTTTTGGCCGGTTTCGTAGATTTAGCCGGTATTCTGTGCTTTTTCGTTAGTTTGCTCAAAATATTAGGACTTTTTCTGAAAATTACCTGATAACCAAAAATATTGGGACTTTTTTGAAAATTACTATGGAATTAATGGATATTATTATTAACAAATCATTTATAAACATAAAAAATATTTTTTTTATTATAAACAAAGGAAATACATTTGTTGTTAATTTTTAGAAATAGAACGGTCGACTATGTACTTCTCAATTGTTTGTTGACCACTTCAAAGTCTCTATGTTCTTCATATGTATCGTTGTGGGTGTCATAGTGAGAAGTATTCTATTAGACGTGACCAATACAAGAGTTGATAATATTTATTAATACACAATCAATAAGTGTCTACTTGCTATTAAGCATGATGCTA